ACACTATGGTGTTTATGAAAAAACCTCTGCATAGGGCAGATTTATTAGCCAGAGGAGAAATTGAGATTAGGGGGCCTGAAGAATCCATTCCCATGGCCAGCGCAGCCAAAGTTCAGAAATATTGATCGAACTGTTCATTTCTGTGTGGCCCTCAGCCTGATCAGGAATCAGATTAGACAGGTGTGAGAGGAGGGGGGGGCAGGTGTGGGGTAGAGCCTTGACGACGTAATCCAGCCAGGAAGAATTTAGTCAGCTCAAGGCCGTTGTCGGGGAGATCCAGATTCTGTAATCAGTTGTTTTGGAACAGAAAAGTCAGACAGACGACAACAATTTTCCATCTGCTTTAATGTCTGCTGGTACATCTCAAGGTGGTGAATCCAATCAGACAAATAATGTGGACAAATTCCACTGAGCCTGAATCCATCAGCTTCTCCAAGATCAATTCCATCTGGCCAGCAAAGTCCAGGGACCACAGCCAGACATATATATATATCCAGAACAGAGAAGAACAGAGGTCCCACCTTGACATGTCCTCCCATGGAAGAAGAAAAAACTTTGTTCCAAAAATGTATTAAGACCAGCTAACCAAATCCATAAAAATAAAAATATCCATAATTTCTAGTTTCAGATGAAAACGTAAAGAAGGCTCCAGCAGCRAAGCAGGGAAGATRAGGAAGAAGTGTCTTACTCCTCTGAGAGCRGAWCAAAAAAAAAGTCTCATCGATGCTTTCAACTGACAAGCTCCTTATACCTGGGAGTGGTTCTGTATGCTGCGTTTTTGGAAAATTGTAGTTGTTTATTTTCCTACTACTACWACTTCCTGTTATCTTCTTCTTCGTCATCTTTTCACCAGTAGAAACATCTGCTTCTTGATCACATGACTCCTGTGAAGTGAAAAAAGTGTTTCCATTGCAGGTTTGTGAAATACACCAATTTAGATACGACTGAAAAACCACCTCATCCTAACGCAAAAACTTTTTGTTGAAAAAACRAATTTCTTTCAAAATTTGACGTGTTTCCATTGAGCAAATTTATTTTCAAAATTCTAATTTGTGCATTTTCATGGTGAATGGAAACACAGCTGCTGTGGTTCTGACAGGATGTGGGTCAGGATTCAGGTCCAGTTAGGAGCTCCAGCTGTTGGCACATTTATAAATAACTGCTTGATGAAAGTTTGACACAAAACAACTGAATCATGGAGAGAATGAAGATCTGATGTCTGAGCAACAGTTTAGACTGGGTTTATCACGAGCTTTTATTGTGTGTGTGTGTGTGTGTGTGTGTGTGTGTGTGTGTGTGTGTGTGTGTGTGTGTGGACAGGTTCACAGGTTGGTCATTGTTGATGCAGAGTCTCACATCGTGGGCATCGTGTCTCTGTCAGACATCCTGCAGGCTCTGGTCCTGACCCCTGCAGGTACTCCTGTCAGCCTGAACACATGAAGACCCAGCCTGGACCGAACCAGAACCAGAACCATTTCTGTCTTTGTGTCCTCAGGTCTGGGGAGGAAAGAGTCCATCCCATCTCAAACTGGAACTGTGGACTTATCTGAGCCTGGGACAGCAGGTCCAGTCGGCTCAGACCAGGGACAGAACCAGGAGACCGGCAGGGAGGAGGACTCCACTGTGAGCTGCCAGCAGGAGGAGGAGACACCTGAGGAGGTGGCAGGAGGAGAAGATGAGACAGTGGAGGAGACAAGAGGAGAGGTAGAGGAGGAGACAAGAGGAGAAGAGGTAGAGGAGGAGACAAGAGGAGAGGTAGAGGAGGAGACAAGAGGAGAGGTAGAGGAGGAGACAAGAGGAGAGGTAGAGGAGGAGACAAGAGGAGAAGAGGTAGAGGAGGAGACAAGAGGAGAAGAGGTAGAGGAGGAGACAAGAGGAGAAGAGGTAGAGGAGGAGACGAGAGAAGATGAGACAGTGGAGGAGAAAACTGAAGAGGTGGGGGAGACAAGAGGAGAAGTAGAGGAGGAGACAGCAGAGATGGAGGAGGAGACGACAGAGGATGAAGAAGGAGAAAAAAAGGAGAAGTTAGGAGAAACAGGAGAGGAGACAGAGGAGGAGGTGGAAGAGGACACCCAGAGGGGGGAGGAGACAGCTGAGAGAGAGGAGGAGAAGGAGGAGGGGGAGGCATGACATCAACATGTGACTCGCTGCAGTCGAGTGCTGTGATTGGACTGCTCCTGTGGTGGTGGGCGTGGCCTGGTAGTGACGGACACATGCCTGAGCCAACCAGAGGAAAGTTCTGGAAGAGTTGGTGTGATGAGTCGCCCCCTGCTGGTGCAAACCTGTGTGTTGATTTATCCATGAAACTCACCCAGAACCAGAACCAGAACCAGAACCAGAACCCATCCTGGATGGACACTAAGAATCTCAGCTACGTCTCTGATTGGTTATTTGATAGATTTGATATTTATAATGAACCAATCATTTATCAGCTGCTTCTGTTTGTAAAGTTTCATGTTTTTAAACAAACCAATGTTCTGACGTCACTTTGGTGTAAATTTTAAAGGTTTTTATGGTTAAATTATTGTTTATAGTTTCTGCTGCTGTTTGAGACATCTGCGAGGGGGCGGGGCTCCGCAGTYTTTGGACCAATGAGAGATTAATCTGATAATATATTTAAAGGTATTATTCATGTTCTGTGCCCAGAGGAACTCTGGGAAATGCAGTATTTTAGGAGAGCAGTGGGTCACATGAAGACCTGCAGATGAACACAGTGTTTGTGTTGTTTTTTAAACAACAACAACAACAATAAACCTGCTGATCAGTTCTTCTCACTGACTTTTTCTTGTTACTTAAATATATCATTAATCCTGGTGATGTCATCAGCCWAAACATGCTTAAACATGTTGGTCCAGTTTAGACATGCTCTGAAAGCTGCACCTTTAACTGGACTAACTGGTTTAAATGAACAGCACCTGTCAGGTCCGTCAGTGGACACCTGTGGTCCAGGTGAGACTTGTGAACAGGCAGCAGTGTGAGGCTGATCATTTTTAACATTCCTGCTTTTACTCTAAATAAAAACCACTCACCTGATGTAATTAGACCAGTTTTTATTTTGGACTGYAACGACTGAAACACAATCTTTATAAGAACGTCTCTGTTTGGTTTCATTAGCAGGTTTTAGCTTCAGATCCTTCCTGAATCAGAGTTTTATCTGCAGCATCAGGATCACATTAAAAACATGGGTCCAAGCTGTGGTCTGAAGACTTTCACATAACAGAAATATTCATCAGAACATTACAGAAGATAATGAACTTTATCACTATATGCTCAGTTTGAGAAGGACCTGGATCAGACGTAACCACACCAGTCTCCAGCTCAGAATATTGGATATTAATGACTCAAAACTCAAAAAACCAGCAGGATTTGACTGTGGTGGTCGATACGTTACTCCAGTTTAAGATTCTGACCCTGATCCATGTTTATGGTAATGAAGAGTCAGTTCTCATCATCCAGATCCAGGTCACACTCCTCCASCTGATGTCTCCAAACTATTTTATGATCAACTGTGTAGCCCTTCAAAATAAGAGCATCRGTGTCATTTAACCAGGTTTCACTGCAAGCAACAATCTGAAAACTGCAGCCAGGGAGAGAAAGTAAAGCAGCTGAGTCATCATGGTGTTCGAGAGGCTTCTGATGTTCAGATGTAGAACAGAGACCTTTAACATCTCCAGGATCATATTTTTCACAAGTAAAATTTATACTTTTATCTATAAAGTGTTGAGCATCTCCTCCATCAGCATTTATCTATGAGGTGAAGTCCTACATCTGAGAAAAACACACATAAACTCACACACACACAGGGTAAGAAAAGCAAAACAGGAAAAGGATCAGGTGGTGTGGAAACATTGGATGATCATTTTTTAGTTAAGTTACTTTGTTGTGTTTTATAAGATGGTGGTTTGAATGAAGCAGAGCAGAGGACAACACTTCTGATGGTTTTTATTTGAATGGTTTATTTTTCTTGCTGCAGACAGAGAAGCTTTACACAGTAAGTTCTGGATCAGCTTGGTTTACGGGTCAGAATCCAGTCCAGTGTGCCTGCAGGTTTCTGTCCTSTGACACATCTGTGCTGTAATCCTCAGGCTGGCAGTGTTGATGAGAACTTCTCTGTTTGGATCCAAACTATGAAGATTACAGAAACTTTAACTTGTTTTTCTTTTCTCTGCTTTATTTTTGTTTCACTTTCACATGAATAAACTGAAGGTGTTCCACACAGTCCAGTTTCAGAACCTCTGGTATTTAAACAAACATCCAGTTAGTTTTCTCTGAAAGATCCTGTTTGTTCTGACTGAAGATAAATTTAGCTGAACTGACACATTTTCAGGTCAGAAGAGTCTGCTGAAAGCTGTTCAGATGTGGAAAAAGAACATTTACCACTCTTTTTTAAATATATTTATTATCATTTTGTTTCTAACCTTATTTTCTGATCTAAAATAAAAACTCTAAAAATGAGCTTATAGTTCTGGTTCTGACCCACCAATCCTCCACTGAGGAGCTCAGAACAGAATTAAATCTTAGACATTTTTACTTCTTACAGTTTGTGACATCATCTTTGCTCGTGTAGGAATCAGTTTTTACTGAATTTCAAAATAAATCAGATTTATTTTAAAAATCTTTTTAAAATGTCAGCATCTGTTCTGACATTTTTGTTTTTGAAGCTGATTTAGTCAAAAACTGCTTTGATTCAACAGCTTAGTTGGTCCAACAATGACATCCTGACACTGCTCCAACATCTGCCCAACATCTGCCCAACATCTGCCCAACGTCTGCCCAACATCTGTACAACATCTGCCCAACATCTGCCCAGCATCTGTCCAACATCTGCCCAACATCTGTACAACATCTGTCCAACATCTG